CCAAATTTTTTTTTTTTTTTTTAATTGTTGAATTGTTATACTTGTCAATCATAAATATGTTTATGTTGTGTATATTTCAATAAAAAAAAATTAAAAATAGTTTATTTTTAAACATATATTATTTATGCCTATACTGTAACGAACAAGGCAATAATTAAAATATTGTTTGACAAATATGACCAAGTAAGAGTGAATTATAATATTACAACATTGAAATGATAATTTTTTTCAACATTTTGTAATATAAATAGATAAATACCCATTTTTACAGAATCTAATAATTTATTTAGGTATTCAAACCTTTCAAGCATAAATTGWAATATATACTACATTCATTTTAATCCCATTTTTTTGAAATATCAATATATTCTCCATCAGGACTTTGGTAGTTTTCGATTGGAGGAGTTTCTACTGGTCCAGTTAGTTGACATGTCAATAAGGATTCATCGAAATCAATAGCTGCTAGATACAAATCTTCAGAAACTTCGCGTAACTCATTTAATGCACGTTGCTGTGAATACTCTAGGTCACTGATAACTTGAAGATTGAAAAAGTGTTCATCATGCTTAAACATTGACCATGCCTTTGCTGCAACTATTCGTTCCTCAAGCTTATCATTACTATGCACTTCTATTGGTCTCTGACGAATGTCAAGTTCATTGGATAACGAAGCCATTAATTGCACCTCATCAATAGGTTTTAATGTTTTGGATACCTTAAAATAAATATAATACAACTGTTAATATTTATAAGTTGTATAACAATATGTAAAAGTTTGTGTATGTCTAATTAAGTTTCACATAATAGACTTATAGAATTAAAAGTAGTACCTTCAGGTGGATAAACAGCTCTTTAAACAGAAAAGAAGAATCGGTACTTAACAGAATGAGAATAGGACATACGCGACTTACACACGGGCACATAATGGCCAAGGAAGAACCTCCCTCATGCGAAGTCTGTGGTGTCCAAATATCAGTGAAACACATCACAACAGAATGCCTAAAATATCAGCAAGAACGACAAAACATCGCATTKGATATGACCCTCGACATCGCATTGGGACCCAATATTTTGGAGAACAATAAAATGATAGTTTTTTTGAAGTCAACAGGCCTCTATAACTTAATTTAATAATTTGCAATTATTTTCCTCCTTTTTATGTTTTTGTTTTTTTCCTTTTATATAAATACTAAGAAACTAAACTCTTACKCCAAATAYCTCTTAAAAAAATATATAATATTGTTRAAATATTAAATCTTGTAAACCTACCATAATTATTTATTGTAACTAATGGCCAGGTAGCTGCCAGGTTTTATTTGATCAATAATAAAAAAATAATTAAAAAAATAGACTTATACAGTTATACCTACATATTTTTTTTACGTATATTTAATGAACATAATGTGAAATATTATGTTTTTGGTTACACAATTTTATACTTTGTTTAGCTACTTATGTTAAACTTCATAAAGAACAAACACAATAGATCAATGACAAACAAAATGCATTTTTTYCCTATATTTTAAATTAAAGTATGTACCAACATAAAATAATTTTTACATGATGAAAGTGGGAAATCAAATATATATATCAGACTGAAATATTCTTAAATATTAAAAATAAATATTGGGTACTAAAATGCATGAATATGATTTTAAACTTGATTTTCTGAAAGCTGTGAATTGTATATAAATGGCAATTGCATAGGTAGGTTCCTAAACTAACAATAATTTAAATTTAAATTATACTTTGTTGAAGTTTGGAATATTACAACATATTTTATAGGTACCTATGTAATGATATCATAGATAAGTATACCTTTATGCTCACATATCATGATTGTATGTTAATTAACTATTCAATAATCATATTATTCAGCTCTTATAAGAGTAGAGAACAACATCAACCCATTAACTTCAACTCCCTAATTATAATTTAATTTTAATATAACTAATAGCAGGAGCCTTAGTTGTATTAATTTATATTTAAAATTATAAATTAAATTATTCTTATAATTATATTTATTTTCTATTTGTACGTTATTGCAGATACTAGACAAAACATTTACTTCACCTTTTCCAATTTTCTAATGGATTTTTCTATCTTTTTACGTTTTCTATCTTCTCTGGCTTTTAATATCTGTGGATCTAAACGTTTCTTTTTTTTCAATGGCTCAGCAAACATGGGTACAGATGAACGGAAGAATAATGGTCCTCCATTTGTTGATATACTCCTTGATCCAACCAATGCACTCGGGTGCATGGCGACTGATGMAAGCAATTTAAACATCACAGTGGCTATTTCCAATTTTGGCTTGAAAGACAAAGCCGATTAAGAAGAAATGATAGAAATATGCTAGTTGATAATAATTAAAATACTTATGTCTTATAATCATTAATTCC